GTTTAGAATTCCTAAAATGCCACAAAATAAACCCCAAAAACCCAGCCGCGGCTTACATTCCTACTCGCCAAAAATTATGCGACAAGTTAAGCGGACTAAATGCCAAACAAGCCGACCCCGAACTAGTTGAGCGAGTTAAAGATTTACCTTGAATTAATTGGTCGGCAATTAAAGATAAAAAACCTAACCCCAAACTAAAAGACCCCGTGGTTGAAAAACCATTAATAACCAGTGAAAGAGTAGAAACCAGTGAACCGTCCGGAATTTCTCCTAGCCACGACCACGAACCAAATTCACCCAAAACCCCAATTACGGAACCAACTCCCAAAACTTCTTCCTTGATTAACGCGGAAAATTTTTCATCAACTTCCTCACTAGAACAACCCAGCAAACCAAAAAGAATTAAATGTAAATTTTTTAACTGCTCTAATTTTCTTACTAATGCGGAAAAAATTTATTGTTCGCAATGCTACCAACGACAAAAAAGCGGCATAATACAGCACGGATTAGAACAGTCATTAGACCTTCGCACTCCAAGCGAAAAATTTACAATCGAAACAGGACAGTTAGCTTCTCCTTTGGTTGAAACAAACCACAATCAACCCGCCGCTGAAATTTCACCAAATCAACCGAATATTTTCCAATCATCTCAACCCGCAATCCAAATCCCTACTATTATTGAACCCACCCGCGAGCAAAAACTAGCCGCTAGAAAAGAAAATTACCAAAACTCCCGAGACACCCAATTAGCCGCCGCGGAAGTCAAAAAGCAGGAAAAAGAAAGATTAGCCCGTGAGGAAAATTCCGAAGTTACGAAAGCCGTTAGACAAGCAAGACAAAACCAACCTAACCCACCATTTACCCCAAGACCGCCCGCAAATTCCAACTCCCAAAATAACCGCAACAATTCGCAGCAACGCAACCAAAATCGCAGCAGAAACAAAAAATCCCAAACTTTTTGACAAAAAACCCAAGAATTCTTTACTAATGAAACCACCACGAAAACAGCCAAAGGAACGGCAATCGGAACCGCAGCAGTCGCAGGAGCAGGAGCGTTATACGTAGGGATAGCTTGTGTCAAAGGATTTTTGCTCTTAAAAGGTGCGGCCGCTACTGCCGCCGCCACGGGAGCCGTAGCCACCAAAATAACCGCCGCGGCTTGCTTTTGAGCGGGAGCCTCTGCCGCTTTCTGACCCACTTTAATAATAGTGGGAGTAGTAGCCGCCGTAATAGCAGCCTACAAAGTTTATCAGAACTGGCAAGATAGCCGAGTGAAAAAAACTCTCGATGCCGAACAAAATTTCGCTCGCAAAATCGGAGAAAAAACTCGGAAATTAGCCGCCAACTTCTCCGCCCGACAGGATTGAAGTGAGGAAGCCAAAAACGACCTCGCCAACGCAGCCGAATTTACCGGAGAGTGAGGAACGCATTTAAGTATTATTTTCGTCATCTATTTCCTCTACACTATCCTAAAAAAATCCTTTGACCTCTGGCAAGATAAACGTCGCGGACGAGCAATAATTTTTTAACCTGCTTAATTCGTGAATAATTAAGTTCTTTAAAAAGTGCCTTTTTCTCAATACTTTTGTTTCCCTCCCGTCGGGAAAAATTTCTGTGGTGATATTTTCTACATAAAAAAATATTTGCTTGCTTTTAGTAGGCATTTTTGCTTACAAAACGATATAAAAGTTTAAGACTTTAAGATTTACATGTTTACATAAATTATGAATATGTTAGAAAACAAAAGAAAAGAATATATTCAGTTATCAGTAGCCATAACAAGAGCCAAAAAAGCCGGTAAGAATATCACCGAATTATTAATCCAAAGGCAAAAGTTAATCAGTGAAAGACCCAACCAAACTAAATCACGGGAACAAATTAACCGCAATTATTACCGAAAGAACAAAGAAATTTTACAAAAGCAAGCAAGAAGCAAAAAGGAGGAGGAAAAAGAACGAGAACAAGAAAGACGAGAACAAGCAGTAAAAGTATTAGCCACGAAACTTTACGAGGTTAACAACATTAAAGTTTTAATGTCTTTTAAAGCATACACGGAATTAAGCAAAGAAAAAAAGAAACTGTGAGTTAATTTTCGCTGAACTATTAAAGATTTGGAGGAAATGCCCCATAGTATAGTCCAGATTATGAAAATTAGGGAAGAAGCCGATAATTTAATCAGAGATTACCGGGAGACGGCCACAAACAAAGAAAGAAGCGATGAAAGAAGTTGAAATCTTTTAGATTATGACGAGCAGCAGAAATTAATTAAGTATTGAGCCCGGGAAAAATTTCA